ACCACTTTAAAAATGATCTTTAATATTCTGTCGTTCTGTATGAACACCTGTTCATCTGTACGATCGAGTGGTAAAAAATCATGTATGAAAGGACACCTTAGAAATGGTGTTTTATGAAAAATCATTTCATCTCTAGCCATTTCTGTTTGTACGTACAAAAAATGTTTCATCATGTACAATTCCAAAATCGTATGTGCGAAGAAAATTTTATACAATACGATTGATCATTTTTCTTTATATAGAAAGGTTTTGAGATCATTTTTAATTCACATTCTATTTCTTTCAAAACTCTCTAGATCCCTTGTCTAGGAAATGGCTAGTTCTAACAAACGTCCACGTGGTTCTAAGGGTTTATCTTCTGGAAGTGGTGTGGATTCAAACTTCCTATCTAAGAAGTATGAGGATGCATATTTTAGGTTCATTGCTGCCAAGATCACTCCATCTAGACTTCTAATCCAAGATGATCTTCACTTCTCAGTAATGCCTTTATTTGCCTCTACTCAACTATACTTCATTCTTACTCTTATTTATGCCTATCACAAAGAAACCTTTTATTATTTCTTGGCTAACATGAGAGTGAGTGATGACCACTCTAGGATAAGTTCCTTTATCCAAAAACAACATGTAGAGATAACCAAAGAAGATTTAGGCAACTATCTTCATCTGAGAACCCAAGGGATTCGAGCCCACACCTTAACCTCTAGAGCTGATTACGACTTGTCTAAAAATAATAAAGTTCTTAGAGGTGTTTTCCAAGTTAATCATTTAGCTCGAGTCTACACCTTGAACCAAAATTCCTGGATCATCCAACATGTCTTAAGAACTTTGATTATTCATAAGGCTGGTGATCGAGTAAATATGACTCCACTCCTATCTACTGTCACATATCTTATTATGGCTGAAAATTTATTTGATGAAGCCCAACTCATTATGGATTACCTGTATAACTTTTCTAAAATTAGACTTCCACGCCATAAGTGGAAAAAGAATGTGGCCTTAGGATATCTTGTTGCTTATATCCTTTACAAGAAGTACAACCTTATTCATCCTGATCCTCCCACTCAACTCCCGATCTATTTTACTGATACTTCTTTTCGATCACTATTTGGGAGAGATCAGAGTTTTAGTGATGATACTAAGGGAGAAGGGGGAGCACCTGCCCCTTGACCTAACTAAAATCAATTTCAAGAAATGGTTCAGCATTTTGATCATTTGGAGATTCACTTTGATCAACGTTTTGATCAAATTGAGACTCATTTAAATCAGCAGGATATGAGATACCAGGATATGGGCTAGATTCGTGGTCAAGTCAACACGATCAATACCAATATAGTTATGATGAATAATTATTTTTTTATGTTCAATCAGCCTCCACCTCCAGATTAGGGCCCCTCCGAGTTCTAAGTGTACTTCATTGTTGTTATGTCTACCAAGCTTTTGAGAGTGATGTTATGATGTTTTTCTTTCATGTTTGTAGTGTTTATTATACGTTGTAAAGTTTTTTAAGTGATGATATTGGGTGTTGTTGTTTGCGGTATCGTTGGGAGTGAATGTATGCAAAACTTTTTGCTTCAAAAAAAAAATGCCTTGTTATGGTGATGTGTTCTTGTTTCTTGCTACTTAAAATGTTGGTATGTTTAATAAGAAAAACCTTTTGAAATTGATCATTGAAATGAGTTATACATTATTTTGCTTTGCAAATTAATTTTCTTACAAAAATCTATTCTTTCAAAATTTTAAATTAGATTTTAACTGGATTTAGATAAGGAGATCAATTTCATATTCTTTTAGTCAAACATAACTAGAATATCATTGTTGCAATATTGATGTCTTATTATTTTTATTTTTTAATATGCTTATTTTTGTTATTAGTGAGATTTGAATTTAGATTACTGATTTTGGAAAGACCTGGTATCAAAAGAAAATGCACAATATATGCAAAAATCGAAAGAATGCACAATGGTTCACAAAGTGAAAAGAGGTACAAAATTAGTCCAAATAGAAAAGATGCACAAAGTGTGCTGCAAATATTTGAAAAGATGCACAATGTTGTCAAATTGAAATTTATTATTATGTTCTTTCCTCTATCATTCAATCTCTAATCCAAATATGTCTAATTAATAATTATATTCTATATTGAATTTGAAGCTAACTAATCTTTATTTCATCTTTTTTGTAATAATCATCTTTTATTTAAATTGTCTAACATGAATCATGACTTTGATTGACTTTTCTTATCTTATTTGTTCTTTGATTTAAAATTTAATTTTTTTTCTTTTTTAGTATTATGAAATTAATATTATACATGCAATTGGTTTAAAACCATTTTCTAGGTCAATTCTTTTGGTTTATCTAACCTTACATTTCAAGTAATACTTACCTTTCTATTGTTGTCAAAAGGAGAAGTAATAATATTATTTGATTTATTAATATTTGTTGGAATGTTTGTTGTTTGATGTGTATTGTTTGATGTGTGTAATTTTTTTGTGTGTATGTGGTATATGTATGTTTTGAATGCATGTGTTAAATATTGGAATCATGTTTTTGTGTTCGTATTTTGTTCAATTTTATTTTTTTTTTTAGATATTTTGATCTTCATGGGAATCCCTAGATTTACATTGCTCATTTATTTAGGGGGAGCTAAGGAGAATTTTTTTTTGCTTTAAATGTTTATTCAAACAATAATTATTTTTCCATCATCAAAAAGAAGGAGATTGTTGCAACTTAGTTTTCATAATTATATTTTCATATTATGTGTTTTTGATGATTCAAAATATTATTATTTTTTATTACTATTTCTCCTAATACATATTAGATATATTATTTTTAATGTTTGTGTATATTAACATTTGAGAGAAATCCTACTCCAGACTATTGAAGACTTCAAGTTAGATTAGATTAGAGTTTATTGTAAATGGAGTCTGTGTTTTACACTTTTATTGAGTGTGAGAGAGTGTGATGTAATTGGATAACCGTGCACACACACACTAAGGGAGAGTTAAAATTTGTAAATTTTTAAACTAATTGTATTGTACGATTACTAATCGTATGGGATAATTTATTTAGTTAATTCCTCCAACAAGCAGTTAATCAAATCATGAACGAAAAAATTTTGGAGTTTTGTTCGTACTATACGAAGTTTCCTTCGTATAAGCGACGTCCATAATACGAAAATGTTGCGAATATTTTCGTCTATACGAACAGGGAAATTTTTTGAACTGATCGTTCGAGGCGTCTTGCCTTCGTACAGACGACGTCCAAAGTACGAAAATGTTGCAAGCCTTTTCGTCCATACGAACATGAAAATTTTTTTGAACCGTTCATCCGAGACGATCTTACCTTTGTACAAACGACATCCATAGTATGAAAATGTTGTGAACATTTTCATCCATACGAACAAGAATTTTTTTTTTTTTTTGAACTATTTGTTCGGGATGATATAGCTTCGTATTGTACGATGTTATTAAACAAAAATATTTTATACAGGATCGTACGAGCAAATTTTGAACTATTTGTACGTATAATTTTTGAATGGATTGTTTGATCAGGGACAGACAAAATTGAAATTATTAGTTTTTTAGATGATTTTTTGTGTCTTTCATATATAAGGTCCTTAAAATTGTCTAAGGACGTATCCATCTTCATTTTTTTTTAGAGAAAAAGTGTGAGAGTGATTGGGAGAGTGTTTTGAGAGTGTGGAGAGATTTTCAAGTGGAAATTGTGAAGGGTTCACAAGGTTTCCCAAAAGGAGAGAATTTCTTTGTAAGTCTTGTCCATCCTCTTCCCTGCTTCTTCGGAGTTGCTCGTGAAAAGATCTTTGAAGAAGATCTGGTTCTCTGCCGACATTAGTTGGATGTAAAAGAATAACAATTCTCTGTCAACACTTGGAGAAATGTGAATGGATGTCGGTTCTCTGCCAACACTTGGAGAATTGTGAAAGGACGACGGTTCTCTGCCAACACTTGGAGAAGTGTGAAAGGATGACAGTTCTCTACCAGCACTTGGAGAAATATGAAAGGATAACGATAGCCGAAACTTGGAGGGTGTGAAAGGACGACGGTACTCTGCCGCATCGGGGATTATTGAAAGACAGGGTAATTATAAAGGCTTCTTCACCTTGTTGTGGCAGCAAAAGGAGAGTCACTTTGGTAATAGTGTAATACCTTAAGAGGGAGACTTCAGGGAGTGGATGTAGGTCTAGTTGGACCGAATCACTATAAATCTTTATGCTCTTTTTATTTTTCAGTATTTTTTTTATGCAAATTTTGTGGTTGAAAGAGTTTTATTTTGGAAAAACATAAATTGTGCAAATAATTTTATAATCGGTTTTTTATTCAAGAGGATTTAAAATACCAATTCGCCTCCCTTTTGATTAGCCTTGGGACAATTGCGTTAGGTCTAACAACTTATATAGATTTTTTGTTATGTACAATAACAATTATATAAAATAAACTAGTACATCATTATAATTACATCATGACTATTAAAAAAACATCTAGTAGATATAAAAAGAAAAGATTAGCTTGTGACCTAAATCACTCTAGTATGCATAGCCCATCAAATAATCAATATCTACAGTTGAAATCAATAAAAAATATATACAATATCACTGAAATTTTATTTAATCATTTTTTTAACAAATTTAATTATCTAATAATTAAATTAAAAAATATTTAGTAAAACGGTTTTCTTAGCAGCCTTTTAGCTGTGCCAAAAAGGGCAAATTATTGGGTCAGGTGACCGAACGCAGAGATAGGTTCGGATAATAATAAAATATTATTTTAAAATTAGCGCAACTAAAGCGCAACCAAAGCGCAACTAAAGCGCAACCAAAGCGCAACTAAAGCGCAACCAAAGCGCAACTAAAGCGCAACCAAAGCGCAACTAAAGCGCAAGTCAAAAAGCGCAACTAAAGCGCAAGATGACGCGGCAAATTTTTATTGGCTGTCCGAACTTATCTTTTGGCTCCGGTCACCTGACCCAATAATTTGCCGCCAAAAAGGCCTAAATCGAATTTGCATTTCCACTCCTTCGGTCGGAGCAATTCCACGAATGGGCTTCCGGAGAGCTGATATCACGGGCGCCGGTGTGTGCGGGCCACGCCGGCGACTGGGTGAAGCATCGCGGCCGGCGTGTACTGAAAGAGCATTCCCGCAATCGCATTTAAGACTTGCCAAATGTCGAATGACCTATTCAGAAAACACTTTTCTTCGCACTCTCCGCCCAAAGCATTTTTTTGATACTCGTCCCAAATAGAACTCGCCAATCGACAACCAGGGCAAGAAAATAGGAGGAGGAGGAGGAGTGAGTGTTGTCTCTGATAGATCGATTTGAAAAAGGAACCATGAATCAGATACTTGGCAAGTTGTGCGGCTATTGGTTCTCAAAGAGAGCCAGCAAAGAGCTGTTCTCCGTCGGCGATGATATCAATGTGAGTAGTTTTGATTCGAGAGCTTGAGAGTTATTTTTTATGAGTTCTGGATGTAATCCTTCCTTGTTATTGATGTGATCTTCTTTTTTAATTTTGCGGTGTTTGTTTGTGGGTGGTTTATAAGTTGTAATGCTCGAACTCAAATCCGACTCTGAGTATTCTCGCTTAGAAAAAATCTGTCTAAATAAATGACAATAGCAGAATTGTAGATAACTTTGTGTATGTTTCTAGGAATAACACAATGTAATAGTCCCTTTGGCATCAATTCTAGGGTTCCTTCTGTATCAAGGAAAATAAAGCTTCGTGTTTTAGGTGAAATTCATTGTTATCCATCATCAAGAATAATTTGTCTCATGAAATACATTAGGTACCTCTAATAGTCATTAGATTACTTTCAAATGAAGAAAATTTTTCTAACAAGCAAAATAAATAAAATTATTCTCTTTTTAAATAATCAAATATGATAATTATCTTAATATGACAGGGATACACAGAAATTTCAAATATCTTCCTACAAGAATAACATGTTTTATGAATTACAGTTGATGCGTTTGATAGGCATAAAGTTACATTTAGATGCAAAAAATTACCTAATAATTAAAATAACTAAAAGTATTCTCTTTTTAAATAATCAGATGTGATAATTATCTTGATATGACTGGAATAATTAGGAGTATCAAATATATTCCTACAATTTAGTTAACTCAAATCATATACGCATCCATCCCACAATCAAGCCACTTAAAAAGATATCATCCTCGGGTTGTGTTTTGAAACTTTCATAAAGTTGAAAATGTATTACATCTCTTAGCAATCAAAAATATCTTGTCTTCAATGAACTTTGATTAGAAACAAAAGCGCTAGATGGGGAAAATGTAAAATCTGAGATAAGAAAGTAGTAGATCCACTGCCAGAACATTGCAATTACAGTAGGTGGAGAAAAATACTCAAATAGATTTTTTTTTTAATTCACATCAAAAACTAGATAGAATCCAATTTTCATTAACAGACTACGTATGCATGCATCAGGTTTGAAATAAGAGAAGATGTAATGGCAGTGGATGAAATAATAATGGCATGCTTTTCTAGTGAAAATTTTAATTGTGCAACACTTCAACTTGGCAAGAAGAATATTGACTACATCCATAGGCAATATAAATTTAATGGGAATGGGATATCCTAGAAATCCCAACAAATTGGTCATGCTTGGAGTCTCCATAATTGGTTTAGAGTCCTATCTTATTTTCAATAATTTGGGTGAACCTCATCTTGTTAATCTTCAATTTAAATTTAAATTTCTTTATGTTCTTCATATATCTTGGATATGATGCCAACACATTCCAAAATATAAATGAGAAATCTAAAGACTAAGTGATATAGAACGGATGGGGGGAAAATTTGAAAATTGAAATTAAAAGTAAATGAGAAAAAAGGGGGTGGTTAATTAAATCACATAATTGGATATCCAATTAAGGAATTAAATAACTATAAAGGGGATGGGCCGGCAACATTAAGAGGGGCTTGGGAGTTTATGGAGAGAGATTTAAATGCTTGCCAAGTGGGGAATCTTAAATTAGGAAGAAATATTTAAATCAAATCTTATTTGAATTTGAAATAGGTTTGATTTGAATACTTTCCTAAAATAAGATAACTAAATTAGGGAAATGATTTGAAATTTAAATACATTTGAATTTAAATTCAAATGCTTTTCATATTAAAATACACCCACAATAGGAAAGAATGTTATCAAGCAAGATTGATTCCAATCAAGAGCAAAAGGGGAGGGACGGCGGGTAGAGAGAGAAGGGGCCAATTATGGGAGGAAAGGAAAAGGAAATTAATCAAGTCTTCAATTAAGGGAGAAAGGATTTAATCAAATACAATTCCAATTTGATTGGAATTTGATTTGAAGAACTTTCCAAAAATATAATCTAGTAATTTAGGTAAGGTGTTGAATTACATTTTAATTGGATTTGAATTCAAAATTCTTTTCAAATTATCTTCAACCTAATTTAGGAAGACAAAGGAGAATGAAGGAGGGAAGAGGCTATGGGTGAGGTGGTCGGCTGGCTAGTGGAGGAGGCTTGTGGCTTTGGAGGGGTTTGTGGGAGAATCGGCTAGTGGCGAGTAGGGGATTTTGGCCGACGGTCAAGGGAGGAGGAGAAAAGGATTTAGGGAAAGAAAGATACAACCATGAGCCCGGACACATCCTGTAGCTGACGGGTAATACGTTGTCCTTCTCCAAGGGACTTCAAGCCATGAGCCCGGACCCATCTTGCGGCTGGTGGAAGCTCTGATTCCCTCCCATAGAAATCTCACACAAGTTCTCTCCAAAAGTGCAAACCTTTTTTTTTTAATTAATAATCCATCATTTGATACATGAGCAAGGGCCTCTATATATATAGGCCTCAAAACAAAAGAAATTAAAAAAGACAACTTTGCCCCTTGGGCTTACATAAGACAACTCTTAAATAAGGGTAAAAACAAGAAATGCAAAATTAAATCAAAATACAATTAATAAACTAAGATAAAAAAAGAGTGATCTCGGCCGTTGATCTTCGTCTCTTCCATTGAATAACCACTCACCGTTGGATGCCCGCATCACTAAGTTTCCATTTGAAATTTTTTGTTTGGAAGAAGGAACATACTTTGGCTTTGATGGATGCACCCTAATTTTTTGTTGGGAAGAAGGAACATACTTTGGCACCAAAGGAATATTATTTTTTTGTTAAAAATTAATTTCAATTTTGTATCTTTGAACTTTTATTAAGCATATAACATCTGAGAAATCATTCTTCTCCTTTGGTTATATGAACCTTAACTTCAACTATAATACTATCACTCATGTAAATTTTTAAATCCATGGAACTCCTATTATGTCATTAGGAATGGGACTTTTTTTCTCTTGTTGCGGAGGCAAACTTTATGTGGTGATGAGAATGATAATTTAAAAAGTTTATATTTCTTATATATGTGCAATCTTATGACAAATGTTCTCATTTGATTAAATGAGTTACAAAGCTTTTTAATGTTATATTCGAATAAAACCTTGTACATATAATTTGGTAAAACAGGATGATTTGTAGTGACAGATGAATGGGGTAGAGCAGATAGTATATGTTGACAAGAATAATAATTTAATAAGTTCGCAATTCTTGTAGATATGCAATCTCACATCTACATAGCAAAGACGCTTCAATGCAAAGCTAGGGTGACAAAAAGAGATGAATGATTGTGTACAGAAGAGGGACCAAAGAGGGGAGAGACAGGAGAAAATTTTGAGTGCACCAATTTGGAGAGAGGAGGGAGACCACAAGAGAACTTAAATTTCAATTCATTCAGTCAAAATCAAAATACCAGCTACGAACCCCTACGTATAGAAATAGAGTTACAAAATTATGATTGAATAGTTTGTAATCAAATTTAATTCTATCCAAAATTAAATCTAATCTCACTCATAATTCAAATTTGAAATAAATATTATCAAAAAGAATAATTCATCATAATTTCAAAATAATAATTATAATCTAATAACTCCATATATTCTAATTAAATTAAATAAATCATAAAATAATCTAGTTGTATTTTCTTGAGTTTCATCAGGCTATTTTCAAAATTCAATTATATGACCATCAGGTCATAATAGGGGTAATTTAAGTATTGCACTAGCCATGGGATTCAATCATGCCCTTTGTGGTTTTATCTACTTTTTATTAAGGAGCTGTTTGGTTGGCTAAAAAAGAAATGCAATGTAAAAGAAATATAATGTAAAAAAATACAGTGTGAAATGAATACTTTGGAGTTGTTTGGATGAGTGTTAAGTAAATGGAGGTGAATGTTTTTTTTTTAAGAAAAATGAACATAGTGTAAAGTCCAAAGATGATGGTGGCCGGTAAGTAGCGGTGGCAATGGCGATGGTGGCCGGTGGTGGTGATCTCCAAAGGCGGTGGCGGCTGGCAAAGGCGGCCAACTATGGTGGGCGGCGGCGACCTTCGATGGTGGGCGAAGGCGGTCAAGGGAGTTTGCTTGCAATGTAAACAATTCTTGCTCATTACCTCAACTCTGGGCGAGTTTTTTTTACCTCAAATCTAAAATGGTTTACACGACGTTTACTTTACTTTGCATTCCTTAATTTTTTATCTAACCAAACACCAATATTTTCAAAATCATTGTATTTGGAATACTTTACACCCATTTTACTTCCAACCAAACAAACCCTAAGAACAACATGTGACAAGAAATGTACGAGTTAAAAACCAACAAAATCACAAATCATGTTTGAGACTAACTCTAGCATGGAAAATGCAATGAAGTAAAAAAGTGCAAAATTTGGTTCTTTTGTTAGAAGCTGTAAAGAATAGACTTAAACCAAATCCATAATATGGAAAAAAGAGGCATATTAGTCATAAGTTTCAAAGAGAGAAAAATGGTTAACCAAAATTGGTTAAAAACAAATCATTCTTAGAATGAAAGCCTTAAAATATTAACGATGATTAAAACTCACAATTTCTTGATCACAATTGAGAATCCAATAAAAAAACGCTAAGACATCTTTAATCATCAACAATACAACATTAAGAATACCTGATTCCCTTGTTAAAGAAAAAGAAATCCTTAAACCAATCCATAACATAGTAAAATGCAGCACATATTTGTTCCATTGTTAGAGCTAGTTAGAAGAAAGAAAAGCCTTAAATCAAGGCCATTCTATGAAAAAAATGGGCATATTATTCTTCTTTCTCAAAGACAGAAAAAAAATTAACCAAAAATGGTTAAAAAACAAATCATTCGTAGAACAAAAGCCTTAAAAGATTAACCATGACTAAAACTCATAATTTCTAGGTTACAATAGAGATAATCTACCTATTGCACAAGCCTATCGAACTTAATTCTATAATTTTGTTTACTTTCTAGTTTCTTCTTAGTATAGAAAGAAAACATAAGAAAGAAATAAATTAGGCTATAAGAACAAGCAAGATCACATATTTTGTAAATAACGTATTCAGCTTGAGAATAACTTAATGTGCTAGCTGCAATAAGAAAATGTTAGACATCTATAATCATCCTATAAGTTGACAACGTTAAGAATATTTGATTCCTTTGCCATGGTAAAATAAAACCTTTCAATCAAGCTAAAACCTAGCAAAATGCAGCCTACAAATTATTCTTTATTTTCACATGAAGCAAAAGATTAACCAAAAAGGTTATAGGACAAATAGTTCTTATGATGCGATAGCTTTTATGAGTTTTTTAACAGCATCCTCAACAACAAATTTTCTATCCTTCAAAAACCAATGGATCATGTCTTCATCATATATTCCATTTTTTCTAACTGCCACACTTGAATGTTCTTTCTCAAGCTTATCTTTAAATTCCAACACAAGCTGCAAATACAAAATTGAATCTAATTAGAGAATTTTACGAGGAGCTATGGATTCTTGTAAAAAAAATAGAGTTCGACAAATTTAAATAAATGTAATTGGAAAGGATGATATCTTGCCGAGGCTCAACCGCGAACATTTTTTGTCTGCATTTGAGTGACATTACTATAAAGCCTTAAATGGCAGCATAGTAATAAAGCAACTCAATGCACTAACAAGATCATAAATAGGTTTTAACAGATTTTGTACTGGTAATCTTTTGTCAATCTTTTGCATTGTATTTCTCATCAACTTCGTACCAACCTTGAGTAATTTTTTTTCAAAAAGACAAAAAATTCAAAATAAACATTCCATGAACGGGACTTCAAAGGGTTTCAAAATATTTAGAAGGAATGAATCCCTCATGGAACCTCTGTATAGAGCGTAAAATACTGCTTTGTTATTCCTTGGCATTCAAACTCTTTAATCTGTATAATTAGTGGATAAGAAAAATAGAGGTATTTATTTAGTGTCATTCATAGAAGAGGAGCAAAAACACACCATTGATTATTGAAATAATTGCATATCAATAGTCAATGAAATTTATAGCTGGAATCCTTTCCGATTATCAGCTTCCACCTTAAGTTCAACTATTTAGGTCGATTTTATGAATCCTTCTCTATCACTCATTTCTTAAGCTAAGTTTGAAATTAATTTTAGTTGAATCCCTTGATAGTTTCATACCATGAACTTTCACTTTAGCCATTTTCCTTTCTCTACCTTACGTGGTAATTCCACTTAATCACAACCACGGGCCATAGTAAACTGATTCTCCAAGTCAATTACAGAATCAAAAAGAGAGTTCACATCAAGAATAATAGCTATTTTTT